GTGTCGACGGAGACCTCTTCGTAAACGTTTGTCTTTGGATTTTACAGCATTTGAATGAATGAGTAAAATGTGTTTTAAGTGTAAGTTTTCCTATCAATTGATCTGATTTTCAAACTAATTGTGTGTTAATTATAATAAAGTTTATGTCAATATTAAAAGTTTTGTAAAGTTTTTCAATGAGTGTTAAGTGTTTACGTGAATTGTTTTTTGGTTGAAAAGTATGCAAAAGTTTGGTAAGTCTTATAAAATGCTATGAATTTGTATTGTACTAACTTTTGGCGACAAACAGATCCATAGATTAGGCACAACAAGAGGTCTTGAGATACCATATGTGTCGCAAACTAGTCGTACAAACCGTTTGCTAAACGTTTGCATAGATTTCAAAATCAAATGCAAAAAAGTTTTCATAAAAACAGCAAAACTCTGATTACAGCCACGAGTCGTCCATAAATAACGTCCACAATTCAAGGGCACATCAAATGGTAAATAAAACTTGAAAACACATTAATTTCTATACAAAAACTCACGTCAAGCCTCCAAAGGGAGCCTCAAAACACTACCAAAACAAAGTACGTTATTTATGAACACATACTCAACGAGCAGACTCAACACATGTTGTGAACGTAAGTCCATCGCAAAGACATTACCACCGATTGTCTCACGACTACAACCCTTATTAACCATCGCTGACACCCACAACACACACCGCCACACACTATCGCCTGAGCTGATCCGCGAGAAGACAATGGCGGCGATGGCGGTGACATCGGAGGGCTTCTCCTTCAGCGACTACGTGCGCACCTATGGATCCGTTAGCCGACCGCCCAATGAGTACGACGAGTGCGCCACCGATGAGGCCTACTATCGTCTACAACGCCAACGACTGCTGCTCCAGACGCAGAGGAATAGTCTCCCGCAATGGCTGGACGTGAAGGAGTGTCTCGAAGACGTGGTCAAAGCGCGCGACATAAGCGCCAAACAGTGGGCAGACCTCACGAGGCAGACAATGGACATCGGGAGGGAGTTTGTGGGCCAGGGATCCACTCCCGACCTGCACGAGAGCGCCGCCGTATACGCGCTGCAAGTGTTTCACGACTTCCGATACGTTAAACACGCGCCGGGAGTCTCGGCTCAACATCACCACCAATTGGAGCAGATGTTTGGCGCCGACCGCGTGGCCAACCGATTGGTAGACACCGCCTACGAGTGGGCCAACACTCTGCTCGATATGCTGGACCCGGAGGACAGGGAACGGCTGTTTGTTCCGTACAGACTGCGCAGCGAAGTCAAAGCCAATGGCATCGGTAGTCCTTCTGGTGGTGACGACCAGCCCTTCGACTCGTTGGACCACTTTGACGATGAGGACCAGTGGGCTGACTATCAGTACAAAGATCTCGATGACGACCCCTTTGTGGACAGAATCTCGAAGACTATATGCGTTAAGTATGACTCGTTTGGTGACAGTCGCTCCAAATCCGGTGCCAAATCCAAGGCCTATGACCTGAGCTTTGAGTACAAAGACAATAACCTGACCGCACTCTCGAAGGCCAGCCATTTGTCGAGCTCTTCGGCCCGATTCGAGGCCACGAAGAATGGTATCCAAAAGGGCAACAGTTCCGGTGATCACGACATCGAGTGGCTTAACCACGAACTCAACAAATATATCGGCAATTATTACGAGAAAACTGGTGAACAGTTTTACATGAATATCGAGACACTCGTCGACACAGTCATGGATTGGATCCAATCGGACGCGAAGAGTAGCGACGAGTTGGTGGCCGACCTCCACAGCCTCTTAGGTGACGACTGTATGTCTCTCATCGAGAAATTAGTCAAATATCGGACACAACTCAAGACGTCCTATAAGCAGATGTTCGGCGAACAGGCCCTCAATAACGAGTCGAACGGCGCCGACATTCCCCTCAAGAAAAGGACTCAACCGTTGGGCCCACCGGTGCTGCGCGAGAGGGGACCGGCGATAGCGCCGTCAGTTGTCGTGCAGACCGCGGATGAGAAGATCCTTAAGAAACAGGTCCGCAAAATGGAGAAAAAGCTCAACAAAGAGTACTACAAAGAGTTGACAGCCGGTGACCAGTCGAGCACCGGTAACCTAACAGCGGACGACATCGAGCGCATGAAACAGCAACGGGAGGCCCAGTTGTACTGCGCAATGATGGGCCCCCTATTCAAAGATCCCGGCGCCGCACCGGAACTGCTCGACCGCTCGGAGTATCCATTCGTATTCGACTCGATGGCCGAAACCAAGTCGACCGCAGCGTTCATATCGGGCGCCAAAATGACACTTCCGTTGGGTTTTGAGCGTAAAGACCGGCGCCTATGGGAGGAGATCACAATACCGGCCCCACCGGCGCCCCCAGAGATCGCTGTCAACGAATACCCGCTCATAGATGTCGAGTCACTCGACGAGTTCGGGCGCCTCGGCTTCGATGGCGTGAAACGGCTGAACCGAATCCAGTCCATAGTGTTCAAGACGGCCGACACCACCAACGAGAACATGTTGATCTGCGCGCCTACCGGTGCCGGTAAGACCAACGTAGCGATGCTGGCTATTATAGCGCAGATCAGGGCCAACGCCCAGGGAGGGGACGTTCGGCGCATCAATTTGGACGCCTTTAAGATCGTATACATCGCACCCATGAAGGCATTGGCGGCTGAGATGACCGACAACTTCAGCAAAAGGCTGCAACCGTTTGGGATACGAGTGCGCGAACTGACCGGTGATATGCAGTTAACCAAATCGGAGATTATGTCCACTCAGATGCTGGTGACCACACCCGAGAAGTGGGATGTGGTCACCCGTAAGGCCAAAGGGGACGTACAGCTGCTGCAACTGGTGCGACTGGTGATCATCGACGAGGTGCACCTACTGCAGTCGGATAGGGGGCCGGTGTTGGAGGCACTGGTAGCCCGCACGAAGCGCTACATCGAGTCGTCGCAGGAGATGATCCGAATGGTGGGACTGTCGGCCACTCTACCCAACTATCGAGATGTGGCCGAGTTTTTGCGGATCAACCCCCGAAAAGGGCTGTTCGTGTTCGACAACCGCTTCCGTCCCGTTCCCCTGACGCAGACATTCATCGGCTGTAAGGCCACGCAAACGATGCAACAAATGCATGATATGGACGAAGTGTGCTATGAAAAGGTGAGGGATATGGCGGCCAAAGGTCATCAGGTGATGGTGTTTGTGCACGCGAGGAACGCCACGTATAGGACGGCCGTACTTCTCAAGGACAGGGCCCACAAAACGGAAAGCCTGTCCGCGTTCAAGTGCGATACCACCCGATTGCCCGGCGCCGAGCAGATGATTAGACGCGCCCGACATCAGGGCCTACAGGAGCTGTTTAACGCCGGGTTCGCCATACATCACGCCGGCATGTTAAGGCAAGACCGCAATTTAGTGGAGAAGCTGTTCCGCGCCGGCGTTGTTAAGGTTCTAGTCTGTACTTCCACACTGGCCTGGGGTGTCAACCTACCGGCCCACTCGGTATGTATTTTGTCTGACTTGTAGTCGATTTGAATGTGTTTTTAATTGATTTAAAGTTTTTTATATAAAATTCACGAATAGTTAATAACCTGCAATGCCTACCGGTGCTCGACATTAATAGATTTAAGCACCGGTTTAGTGGTTGTCATGAAAGTCACCGAAAATACTTTAAATGAATTAAAATTATTTTTTGAATCAATTGAATCACATATGAAATGAATTGAACAAAACTTTAAACTGTTTCTCAACGCCATTACCAAATAGGTTGTGATAAAAGGGACCGAAATGTACGACTCATCGCAGGGCAACTTCGTGGACATATCGATGCTGGACGTGATGCAGATCTTCGGGCGCGCCGGTAGGCCGCAGTACGACACGGAAGGTCACGGCACGATCATAACGGCCCACAATAAGCTGCGGCACTACCTGTCCCTTCTGACCAATCAGTTCCCGATCGAGAGTCAGTTCAAGAAGTACTTAACCGACAATATGAACGCCGAGATCGTGTCGGGCACTATCACTACCATTGATGAGGCCGTCGACTGGATTAGGGATACCTATCTGTATATACGAATGCGCAAAAACCCCCAGTGCTATGGTATAGGCGCTGATGATCTCCGGCGTGATCGCGATCTGTTTGAATACCGGCGCCGTTTGGTGAGGGAGTCGGCCGAGGATTTGGATACGGCCAAAATGATCAGGTACAGCCCAGAGACCGGTACCCTCGACCCCACCGACTTGGGACGTACGGCCAGTCATTACTATATAAAGTACGACACGATTATGAAGTTTAATGAAGTGATTAAGGATACCATGAATGAGAGGGACATCTTCGCCATGATAGCCACCGCTCAGGAGTTCGATCAACTGAAGGTCAGTGTCAAACATACCGGCCCTATAGACCGCATACTATTTGTTTGGTTGCATAACGTAATATGCGATCCCTTTTAGAAATTGCCTAATATTTGTGTTTTCAACTCATTTTAAATGTTTTATTTTCCCAACTTTTGCGGACATGTAGTCACGAGAGGACGAGTTCGAGGAACTGGAGGACCTGTTGCGGCACTCGTGCCAACTGGGAGTGCCGGGAGGTGTGGAGAACAAGAACGGCAAAGTGAATATACTGATGCAGTCGCAGCTGAGCCGGGTCAAGATCGACAGCTTCTCACTCGTGTCGGACACCATGTTTGTGATGCAGGTACGAGAGGCGGCGCCAAACATACCTTTCCCGTTAGGAAATCACGCGATAATGAGTAATTAGCACTCATTATCACACATACAGTACATGTGACGGGAAATGGATGTCCGACTTATTGCTATTACCTGTACTACCGGTACTAATTTCCTAATGACTCGCACCAACAGAACGTGAACCGCATTGCGAGGGGACTGTTCGACTACGTGCTGAAAAAGGGTTGGGCGCTGTTGGCTCAGCACCTGCTCCGGGTGTCGCTCATGTTCGAGCGCCGTATGTGGGACTACGAGACCCCTCTCCGCCAGTTCCCCACAGAGATCTCCTACGAAGTGATGTCAAAGTTGGAGCGCCTGAAGCCGCCGCTCACTATAGACCGCATCCGCGAGACCAGTGCCGACGACTTGGGACGTCTGGTGCGGCACCAGTCGTACGGCGCGATACTGAAACGATTGGCCGAAACGCTGCCGGCGGTCCAAGTGGAGGCCAGTTTGAGGCCTATAACGAGGACTGTACTCATGGTTCAGGCGGAGGTGCGGCCGGCGTTCCGGTGGGACGACAGACACCACGGAAAGGTGTGCGAGTCGTTCTGGCTGTGGCTGTCCGACATCGACAGCAACCATATCTACCACTCGGAGCTGTTTAAGTTGACTAAGAAACAGGTGCAGCGCCGGGAGTCGCAGAAGTTGACGTTCAACATACCGCTCCTGGACCCGGACCACCTGCCCTCCCAGTACATCATTCACTGCGCGTTCGACCGGTGGTTGGGCTGTGAGTTAGACGTATCCCTTCCCTGTCGGCAACTGATTCTGCCCGAGAAGTACGTGCCCTACACTAAGCTCCTGGACTTGGATCCACTCCCGGTGTCGGCGCTCAATAACCCGCTCTACGAGTCGATCTACCGGTTCTCACACTTCAACCCAATTCAGACGCAAATATTTCACACCCTATACCACACCGATGGCAACGTACTGGTGGGCGCACCCACCGGTTCCGGTAAGACTATCTGCGCCGAGATGGCGATGTTCAGGACGTTTACGACAAATCCCGGCGCCAAAGTGGTGTACATCGCGCCCCTTAAGGCGCTGGTAAGGGAACGGGTGGACGACTGGCGACAGAAACTCGAGCAGACAATGGGCCGCCGGGTGGTGGAGCTGACGGGCGACGTGACGCCCGACGTGAGGGCTATTATGGCGGCCGACGTCATAGTGACCACACCGGAGAAGTGGGACGGCATCAGTAGGAGTTGGCAGCAGCGCCGGTATGTGCGGGACGTGGCGCTCATAGTGATCGACGAGATACACCTGTTGGGTGAGGACAGGGGTCCGGTGCTGGAGGTGATCGTCTCGCGCACCAACTTTATCCGCCAGAACAGCGACCAAAAGATCCGTATCGTAGGCCTGTCCACCGCGATAGCCAACGCCCAGGACTTAGCCAATTGGCTGGACATCAAAGGCATAGGTCTCTACAATTTCAATCCGTCCGTACGTCCCGTTCCCATCGAAGTGCACGTCCAGGGCTTCCCGGGAAAGAACTACTGCCCCCGTATGGCACTGATGAACAAACCCACGTATCGGGCGATACTACACCACTCGCCCACCAAACCGGTGCTCATATTCGTGTCGTCCCGACGCCAGACCCGACTCACGGCCTATGATTTAATGACATTCCTGGCCAACGACAGCGCCAACGACCGGTTCCTGCGTATGGATAGGCGCGAGATGTCGGCGCTGATTGCCAACGTGAGGGACAGTAGTCTGAAAACGACGTTAGACTTTGGCATTGGTTTACATCACGCGGGACTGCACGAGAGGGACCGGTGTTTGGTGGAGGAGCTGTTCGCGAACCAGAAGATACAGGTGCTGGTGAGCACCGCCACACTGGCCTGGGGTGTGAACCTGCCGGCCCACGCGGTAACCAATAGCTACCACTTTTAAACGTGAAATAGTTTTTAAACTGTATTATGCGCTCACATTTCAGGTGATCATCAAAGGGACCGAGTATTTCGACGGCAAAAAGCACCGGTACGTCGACTTTCCCATCACAGACGTGCTGCAGATGATGGGTCGCGCCGGTAGGCCACAGTTTGACGACACGGGCGTCGCCGTTGTCTTAGTACAGGACACGAAGAAGGAGTTCTACAAGAAGTTCCTCTACGAGCCGTTCCCCGTCGAGTCATCCCTACTATCGGTGCTCAGCGACCACATGAACGCCGAGATCGTGTCCGGCACTGTAGGCACCAGACAGCAGGCCATTGAGTACCTGAACTGGACGTATCTGTTCCGCCGGGTGCTTAAGAACCCCCACTACTACGGCTTACTGAGCGCCGACACTCAGGACGTGAACCAATTCCTGTCCACTGTTATCGACACCACAATACACGCACTGATGGCTGACTTGTGTCTAACCATTGATGAGGAGGACGACCGCACACTGACGGCCACACCGTTGGGTCGCATCGCGTCCTTCTATTACATCAACCACTCGACGGTCCGGGCGTTTCACACGGCACTGGCCGACCCCCAAGTGGACGTGGATTACGCGGGACTACTGGATGTGTTGACCGGCGCCTACGAGTACAACGAGCTCCCGGTGCGACATAACGAGGATATACTGAACGCCGAGTTGTCGATGAAGTGTCCCATCAAACTGAGCTCTAGTCGGCACCCGATGGACAGCCCGCACACCAAAGCCCATCTACTACTACAGGCGCACGTGTCTCGGCTACCGGTGCCCAACACGGACTACTCCACGGACTTGAAGTCGGTGTTGGATCAGGCGATTAGGATAACGCAGGCGATGATAGACGTGGCGGCTCTGGCCGGCGCTCTGCCCACTGTCCTCAAGATCGTGACAATGCTTCAGATGATAGTCCAGTGCCGGTGGCAGTCGGACAACCCGTTGCTGGCGCTGCCCGATGTGGACAGTCATACGGCGGCTGCCGTTCCCGTCGCCTTGCGTTCGCTGCCACAACTGACCCGTACGGCGCTGTCTAATGGATTTGTAGGCCTACAGGCGCTGCTCAGACCCCATGTGGGCGACCAGTCGGCCCTCAAATGCATATACGAGTCGCTCATTAAACTGCCATTAATTGAGTGTACGATGAGTTTGGCGAAGACCGGAGGCGACGAGTCGGTGGTTACCCAACGGGTGCCCGTGGGGGCCGTGTTTGACACGGTGTCCAAACGTCCGGCGTCTGCCGTAGTGGACAGGGATGCCGAGTACGCACTCGTATGTGATTTTAGGCGACCCCACGTACGCCAGAAAGACGGCGGCACCAGTAGGGCGTTGGCGCCGAAGTTCCCGAAGCCTAAGGACGAGAACTGGTTCGCCGTTTTGGGTGATGTGGAGCGCCGGGAGCTGATAGCACTACGACGATTGGGTAGCATCGGGTCCAAAGGGCAGCACTCGTTGTCGTTCACCACCCCTTCCACTCCCGGCCCCGTTGTCTACACTTTCTATTTGCTCAGCGACTGCTACCTCAACCTCGACCAACAATACACTATCTACCTGTCCGTCCGATAGGGCTTTCCATTTAGCTATTAATTAATTTCTAATTAATTTATTTTGTGTTTTCTATGAATTGAATTGTTTTTTGTGTGTGTTTTGCAAATGATTAGAAAAATAATTAAATTATTTTTCTAATGACTACTGATTTTGGAGGCATAGTTAGCCCCGATTTGTGTGTGCAATGAATAAGTGATTATTTTGTTATTAATTGTATTTTTGGTATTAAAATAATTTTTGTAATTTTTATTGATGTATAACTTTGTACTAAAAATTGTTTATAAAACAAATGATATAATATTGTAATAAAAATTAGTTTTTTCGCAATCAATACCACTGTTTCTATGGGACAGTTATGTCTGTGAGATATATTTATAGCCTATGAATGCCATAAAACCAAAAGTGAAAAGGCATTTATGAAACACTTTCACCAGTTTTTTATTGGCCTTCAATGAAGTGCTTATAATAAAAGCTATTTTGCGATTAATTTATGTCTTATTATCGCTAATCAAATACAATATAATGACTAGTTTTATACAATGTATATATTTCTCTAATCTCTGGACAAATTGTGATACAGAGTATAAGTATTTGCTGTAAAAATAGGCACAAAGTTGCGTAAGTCTTGGCTACACTTCAAGCACCGGTATTAAATGTATTAAAAGTTATAGACTGACTGGTATGACTGTAAAAAATTGTTTTTCTTAATAAAAACACTGTTATCGGGAAAAGTGCTGTTAGATTAGAAAGTGTATTGGTAATACAGTAGACTTAATAAAATAGCACTCAATGCTAAGTTTATATAAGTTTATAATTCAGACATACCTTTGGTTAAATTCATAAAAAAAAGTATACATGCAACTAAATTACTGTCCCAAGCAAACATATCCCGGTGCCCTATAAAGTCTATAATAACCAGACTCTCATTCAATCCCTATCCTATTATGTCTTATCAGTGAAAAAATAACTTTGTCTCGAAATATATAACTTATAGTTTAAAAAAGTTTTTGTATTTTGGTACTAATTTTGTCACGTATTTTGAAATCTATTTAAAAAACAAAATTCAAAATAAAAGTCGAAAACAAATTCTCAAACAATTATTTTCATTCAATTCACATACCATACGATAGACTCATAAATGAGTTTATTATGTCTGCAAACATATAGCGATTGGAGAGAAAAATCAGTCGCTTTTCCCTATAATTATATAATAAATACTTTTATTTGTCTCGATTTCATCTGCGAGAGTGAAACTGATAGCTCAGGTCGTAAGGGGAACGGCATGTGTTGTTTTTCGCACTCACACAGGGGTAGACCTAACGGCATAAATGACTCTCTATTATGTAAGAAAGACTTATTTTTGCATTAATTTAGTGAATGATTTTGATTAACGATCATATGATTGAAGTTTATATTTCACGGCATTATAGACACGAGTATTTAATTGCCATTGAATTGAAAGGTCGAGTCTAAAGGTGTCTATAGTCTGGATGTGTTTTTAATAAAACTTTTTATAAGTGAAAGTAGTTATAAATATCATAAACAGTCTGTTTTCGGGGCACAGACAGACAAAAAATAATACGTAAACACCACTCCAGACATACAAATTGTAATACACCAACCCCTTTCGTACAGTTCCCTAATTGTACTACAATTTTTTGTTTGTTTAATTATCATTAATTATCGGATAACCTTAAAAATTGTTTTCACTAGCTGATTGAACTTGTCAGTTGATTGGAAATAACAAACACAATATTATTGACAAAATAGACAGTTAACTAGCTTTTAAATTTAAATATTTATCTAGCTACAAATCTCTAGCAAATCACATAATGTATACGCAATCGAGGGGTTAATTCATTGTAAGTTACGATAAGTGTGTGGGAATTAAGTATACAATTAGTGCTATTTTTCATACCATATTCCCGTTATTATATAAATCACTTGCTAACCAATATGATTATAATAATTTACTAAACATCCCGTTATTAATTTATCATTACACCCTGAACAACTTTCCACTTTCATTCGTCTCACTATTAAGACATAACATAAACTTTCCACACATTTAAACAATACAGTATATTGAGAAATAGATATAAAAATCAAAACTTTCATTAGTTTTGTGTAAATATTGTGCTAACTAATGTCAATAACACCTCTATTAATAACAATAATTATGAGTACCCCAAAAAATTTTATTATTTATAAACCTCATTATAAAACAATTTGCAAGAATAGCTATACAAATAAAAAACTTATTTTCACATTAAATGTCACACGAGTCTCACTGTGAGTATTATAAATATAATTTTGTTTGCCTTACTACTGTATATAAGTTAACATTTAATTGAATAACGGCACTACCTTTTTATTTTATTTCTTACCTTACGGTTCGGTCCACTCATACCGGTGCCAATGGGAACCCGGAGGCCAGTCGTCTCTCATTATTATTTGCATAACAAACAAAAGTTTATGTCATATATGAAAAACTGGTCGACACTTGCAAACACACAATCATTACTCACAAAAACTCTGTCACTAGTGATGGCCCACTATTTTGAGACATTAATATGCAATTAAATGATGTTTTCCATAGGCTTTAACCCCAAGTGTGGCCCCAAACACGTACTAATCATTTGTTATAAATGACTACATAATAGTAATTAATGAGAGGGATGTCCATTAAAATTTATTAACTTGTCGTATAATTAGCATGTGTAATTTATATCAAGTTTAGGGCCAACCTTCCAGTCCCTTTTCAAAGCTAATATTTCTAATGAAAGCGTCGGTATGTCAAACAACTTGAATAAAAATTAATACTACTGTAGTTATATTGGAATAAGGGAACTGTAGCCTAGATTAAACTATTGTTTAAGCTTTAAACTTTAAAAGATTGGGTAATAAATATGCAAATGATATATAGATTGATACTGAATAAAACAAAATTAATAGTATGTTTTCAAACATCAATAAATTATTTATTGATTACTTTTCTCATTAAATTGTTTTAAAGACATAACATATAAATTAAAAACACATTAAATTGAATACAGAATTTTGATTATAATTTACATTGTGCAAACAAATAAAATAATTAGCTAGCATAAAATCTTATAAACAACTATTATAATTTTCTACCTATATATTCCAGATATTACTAAATATCTACATTAATAAATGAACAATTAAATAGCAAGTAGAAATAAATGACAGAAACACACATTTTTGTTGTTCACATAAATTATTTTTATTTGCGGACAAATCGTTAGGAAATAATACAAAATAATAATCATTAAAATTCAAACACAAATCACTTTACAATAAATCATAAGAGGTTTTCTCAATTTTATTTTTATGTCAATTGTTATACACAATCACCACAAATAGTGCCAAAAAATACTAATAATAATAATAAAGTTAATTCAATAAAATATAAATTAATAAATAAGTTTCATGTGAGAGGGGTAGGGGCACAGGGTGTTCAAGTGGACAGGCAGTGGACAGCTAGAGAATAAAAGTTGTCATAAATAAATATCAAATATGTATAATAATAATCATAAACTTATATTGAACACTTTTGGGTCATTATTATATACCTCATAATTAACTTGATAATATATTTATATAATAATAATCATTTTGAACGGCTATTCGTTCTACTCGTTTAACAGTAAAAAAAGTTTTTCTCTAATTTGTTTGTATAATAAATTTTTTACTGAGAAATCATATAATAATAACTTATGTATAAAATATGCTTTAAAATTACAATTAATCTCATGAGACAGGTCTCGACACTCTATGGGACAGTAGTAAGACTGGTCCGACACTAATATACCTAGATACATTAATATCAACTCATATTTTATAATTATAATAATAAACTCGATAAAAATCAAATAATAATATGAAAAACAGTATTATTATTGTATTTAATGAATGGATGAGTGAAATGTATGGACAAAACAAAACGATTTTATGCTATTTGTATGGGTATTGTGGTTGTGAGTGAAACAAATAGTATAATCTTATATATTTCTTATGTATATTATATAATCTTAAAACTCACGTATCATTTCTCTATACTATTATATCAAAAACATGTTTACAATTAATAACTATATATATATTTTTTTTAAATAACAATTTATTTCTATTTAACATAGCTATTTATTTAATTTCATAATAAGCTAAACATGTTTGTAATCGCTATTCAATTAACCATAAATGAGTAATTAAATTGAATCATATGTAAAGTGTTCATTACTCATCTCGATAACTATCTACTATTTATAATCAATACATAGACTCAGCCGGGAATACAATCATACAATTTTCGGTGGGATTTATTCCGTCAAATACTCGACGTTTAGCTCATTATATAGAAAACAAGTCAAGAATATTCTCTAAACTCTATTCAACTGCTTAAACAATAAATTGCTTTTTTGTAGTGATTATTAGTATTTATAAATAATAATTTTATTTGCCTTTTCAGATGAGGAACTGTATGTCATGTATGCTATGGTTTACTCTATGGAGGGGGTATAATGTGGGGAACTATAGTTTTGTTGCACTTATTATTATAATTACAGTAATTTTATAATCTATAGGAATGTCTGAATGAATGTTTAATTAAAGGGGAAAACAATGAATCTTTTGCACAGAAAAATCATTTGATAAGAAAAATGTGATATAAAACACACTTTTCTTACTTATCGTATAGTCGTGTCTATCAAACAGTAATTCAATAGACGTTTTGAACTTATTTTTTGTCTCATATTTAGTATACTTTGTGTTGTTTTCTCAAATACATAGTCTCTTAACATTGGAAATGAAATGTAAATTACATTAAGAATTATATATATATTTATTATTTGTATGAATGAAATGGTTGTTTGCTATGAACACAGGTGTCTCATGAGAGGTGAGGGGTCAGTTAGATACGAGATATAAGGGTTGCACAAGTAGTGTGTGTTTAGTGTAGACGAGAATATAATCATCAATAATAATAATAATAACTTAAATATAATATATAATAATTAAATATTCTTATGGTACACACAAAATAATAATAATAATTAATTTAAAAAACATAAAAAACATTTGGGAATCACAGCCAATGAATGGAAAATCATAAAAATATATATAAATTAAATTATAATTTAAAATCTCTTATATCTCAATAGAAATTAATGGCAAAATTTTTCTCATTCATATAATTAATGTGTATTTTTTTAATTCATAATCTGTTTGTGTATTAAATAATAATAAATAAATTAATAGCGATTTTTCCGTGTAGTGTATAATGTAATGCATGTTCAATATGTGTATATATAAAACAAAAACTCCAGTTCCCAGCGATAATAGCCATTAATGAAATAACCACCCGGATCATTCCTATACTTTACACTCAGGCGCCGACTTTAGCTCATTGGCGCCGACAGCCTGCGAGCGCTCCCTTTCCGCTGTCGTACACGACTTACTCAAGTGCTCGTCGGTAACGCCGGCGCTGGCGGCCGCCGCTGTCGCCAAACCTACCAGCGCTTGGATGACCGGACTATTGCCGTTCGTGTGCTCACCGACACCGCCATTCAGACTACCGGTGCCGTTGCTCAGCGCCGACCGAATCGTACTATTGGTACCATTAGTCGAGAGTGTGGAGTGTCGGGAAGGGGTGGGTGAGTGAGGGGGCCGGGAGTCCTCGTCATCGTCTATCCGTATGCTTTCATTCTCCTCGTCCTCATCGACGCAATCGATGTCCTCATCCATATCCTCCTCCATGTCCTCCTCCTCCTCCTCGTAGCCGTTGAGGGAGCCGTCCAACTGACGATACCGGCGCTCCCCGTTCTCGGAGTAGGCGCCGTTCGAGTAGGCGCTCGACCCCCGGGTCAGCTCAATGTCCAGGTACTCGCCATTCACTTGGTTGGGCTGACACGACGTGGTCTTCCAGTGCGTCCGCAGACCACTGGCGCTGATGTACTTCTTATTGCACGTCTGACAGGTGTAGGGCCTCTCGTTAGTGTGTAGGCGCTTATGGAGCTTCAAGTGCACGAATTGCGTGAACTTCGCGGGGCAGAGGTCGCAGGCGTACGGCTTTTGCCCGGAGTGTAGGCGCAGATGTGTCTTGAGGTTAGACGTGGAGCTGAACCTCTTGTGACACACATCGCACTGGTGGGGCTTTTCGCCCGTATGTACCAAATGGTGCTTCTGGAGGTGAGCCAGTTGCGTGAAACTCTTGCTACAAGTGCCGCATTTGAACGGCCGTTCCCCGGAATGGGTGCGTAAGTGGACCTTCAGGTTGGATAACTGGCCAAACGTTTTGTAGCACACATTGCACTCGTAGTGCATTTTGCCGTCCTTTTTCTTCAACGGGTACGGTAGGGAACGGTAGCCTCGATTAGTGGACGAGTTGGGCGAGTAGGGACCGCCCGACCCCGATATGGAGGCTATGCTGGACGGCGGCGATGGGGAGCCGTTACTGCGCGCCGACACGGCGTACGGCGACTTCGGGTCAATCGCCTGTTGCGGCGATCGCTGTAACAACGAGTGGGCCGTCGGGTACTCGCAGCCCAGCGCCGGTAGCTTCGGGTGCGGGTGATAGTGGTGGGCACCTGTTGAACCGCCGTTCTGTGGCCTACCATTCAGGCCGTGGTGGCCGTGCAGGGAGTCGGCGCCGGGATTGGGGTGTAAGCCGGCTGTCATGGCCGAGTAGGCGTACATATTGAAGTGTCCGGGTGAGAATAACGGAGTCATGCCGTTCACGTACAGGTAGTTGGCCGGCGCACCCGGTGGGTGATAGCCAGCACCGGGCGGTGATCGGCCACCACCTAAAGCTGCGTTCAGAGCGTGATTAGTCTTATCGGTCGAGTCGGGGCTACGCATCTCAGGGCTGTGGCCGCTATGGAAGCGCCCGTAGCTCTTCTTATGCGGGTATATCATGTGACCCCTCGATGTCTGTCCCTCTGAAGACCTTCCGGTGCTGCCGTTAGGTGATTGTTGCTGGTGATGGTGGTTGTTATGGTGATGGTTATGGTGTCCGTTCGGTGACGGGCCGTTAGTCTCATTGGGCGGCGACTTATTGTTAACGCCCTCTCCGTTCACAATGACCCGCACGGGCTCTTTGGTCGACCCGTTGTACTTCGGGGCGCCGTTAGCCGCGTACACACCGGCGCCCGACACGCCGTTAGCCGACGTGACGGCTATCTGAATGGCTGCGGCCACCCGTTCCGCGTGCAGCCTCTGGATCAGCAGATTCTCGAGAATACCGGCGCCGCTGGTGGCGGCGGCCGACTTGGGACTCGTCTGACTGCCGGCGCCGTTGCCGTTGGAAATGCGCTGAAACATGCCTTCGGGGACCACCGAAAAGGCCGACTCAACGGGCGATCCCTTCGGGGAGGACGTGGAGGGCGGCGGCGGTGGTGGCGAACAGTGGGCGACGGCTGGCGCCAGACCTCCCGTAATGGGCTTCGGCGGGTCGACACCACTGGCGGGGGTCGACACGCGATCTTCGGCCGCGAACTTAGGCGACGCGCCGTATGTGGGACTCGAGGGCTCGGCGGCCGAGTATCTCATTGTCGACGAGTCGACCACCGGTTCCCGCTTTTTTCGGTCCTCCTCGTCGTCATCGGGCGTAACGGCGCTGACGGACCTCTTGGGAGGGCTACCGGCGCTTGTGCGGTAGTGGTAGGCCTTCGGCATCTTTATCTTAACCATCCGGAACTCGTTGTCCTCAATCTGTCGGCACAGGAATTGTCTGTTAATTATCTGCCGAACCAGTGATCGGTGACCACCGCTGGACACCGACGGGTCGGTTACCTCTGTTTTGGAGGAGGCCTTCAGCAGCTTATCCTTCATGTGGTCCGTCCTGTCCGACGACTTCTTCGTCTTAACCGCTCGCAAGTCGAGCACATAGTTGTCGTCGGCGTCCGAGTCGGACGAGTCCTCGGGAGGGGTCAGGTGGTCGTCGTGGAAGCCGTTGCTGTGGTAGCCCTCGTCCGACCGGGTGCTGCCCTCCGTCGTGGGGGTCAGTCGGGTCTGAGCGCCACCCATGAAGTACTCCTTCGTGTCGGGACTCAGTTGTTGCCCTAAAACCGCAAACAGATATAACAGATTAGTTTACAATGAACTCCCGTTCCCCTATAGACTGGTGTAAATTTATGTATAACTTTTTAACTGTTTATTTTATAACTAGATAATTCAATAATTAACTATACTATAGCACCCGTATAAACCTTCCTAGCACCTCCTAACCAAATACAAGCTCCAGTAGCCTCTACCCAAAACTAAGCTCCAGTTCCCCCGACACGTACTTATTCTGTTGAGCATCTGCTCGCCCGTCAGCGGGTAATTGAGTCGTTCGGCGAACTCCTTGCAGTACCAGACGAGTAGCTCCTGGTTGGGGAGCACCGGCTTAATGGTGTAGAAGTAGATGGACCGGTTGACCTGACACGCCACCAGGTTTTGGCTCTCGTTACTATACGCCGGATTGACGTAACGCATCCAGTTGGCTTTCGACGCGTCGTACCCGTCCACGTAGTGGTAGCTGTCGGCGCCGGTATACACGCGCCAAAAGTATTTGCGGTTCGCGTCGCCGGGAACTCCATCCTTGGCGTACACGTCGCCAACAAGCGGCCCAAAGCGCGTGCCTCGGGGTATGTAATCTGTGCTCCAAACACCAAGAACCTGGTCGTGGTGGACAGGTAGGTATGATATAGATTTATATTTTTATTATTTGGCTTTAATTTATTGGTACGACTTGTGGCATTACTTAACCGGATTTAAGATTTTAGTTATTTTTGTTAAAAAGTTTTTTTATATTAATTCAAATCTTTTAATCTTAAACTCCCGGTTAGATAATATTAAAAGTCATTACAAACTATTGATATGCAAAAATGGATTAATAAAATATACAAGAATATTCTGTATTAACAACGATAACAAAGATTATCATTGATAATACAAAAACATCCACGCTACTTGTCACTGATACTTATTGGTTAAACCTTGTCGATACATATCAATAGCATGTTTTCAAAGGGTATGGGTCGGGTAGGTGTCTATACGTACATCGCTGAGTGTTTGCGAGGGCTTAAGTACTAAATTACGGGGCAGACTGGCCTCCGCGCGGTTTGTAGCACTGGTATGTGTGCTATCATCACATGGTTGGTCGGGCACTAAGTACACGGCTAACTGGTCGAAGTCCTCCTCGGCTATTGAGCTCAAGTCCCAGACGACATCTTCCATCCTCCGGAACTGCTTATGAGATAATCAGATAAGACATATAAGATTATTATGGGCTCAGGAATCAGTAGAAGATTTATTTATTTATTTTAGTTGTTTATAAATAATTATTTAGTTAATTATAAATAAATAGCAATTTTTATTACACTATATATCGTAGCGTTTTAATAGCCGACTGAAGTGAAAGCAAAAACACTATATATTCTAATATATAGTATCCCTCGCTATACACACCAGTGTTTAATAGGGAAAAGTGAATTCAAATAAACATTTTTTCGGTACAAATATAACTAATAAAACTCTTTATATATGTAACTCGGATTTTAATATATCAATTGAAAAACAAAACTTTTTTGCTTTATTTTAACGTAAGAAAACTTAAAGCGATTGCCAAATCAAAAACGAGTGAAAAAAATTTCCTAACTGTCAATACATTTCGAGACAGAAATTAGAGTATTATTTATTATTTTCGAGGTTTACTTACGAATACATTACATGACAGTACAGTATGTGCTCAACGAAAATATTACAAAAAAAAGTCTACATTAAAAAGTCTGATTACATACATGTCTACAATGCAGCGCATATAGTATAGCAAAGATTACGGGGTAGTTATCATATGAATATAAGGTGAAGGTGAATATAAGACATATTACGAAAACAAGGCTCAAGGTGCATTGTGCACGCTCCCATATTACGTACCGGTATGTCTGTCGACCCCCGTCCATAACCTCCATATACACCCATATCTGATATAATGATGATTACCATTATAATAAGATATTTGTTTATTGATTGTATGGTATGTTTTTCACATACAATTGAAAGTTATTTTTAGTGACAATCTGTTAATTTTATGGAAAGTTTTGCCTGCAATCCATGTATTTTTTAAATATCGATGAACTAACCGGGGGTATGTGCTGGACTCCTACATAAACTCGTAGATATCATGTAAGGGTCATAACTAGACAGTTACCACCCCTTTGAAACCGATGAATGCAAAACTATAAGTTCTGAATACCATATTTAACTCAATGAATACGTGAACTAAAATGCTGTTTATCTGTTGAAATAGTTATACAATAAACAGTTATATGATATACAAGTTTCTGTATAAAAAGGAGAAGTTTTATCGGGCATAAACCTTTATTTATAACTACAGCCCTATTGATATTGCTTTCAATATATGCGAGATAATAGCTATCATTATCAGTGAGAGAGAGAGAGAGAGAGAGAGAGAGAGAGAGAGAGATTTGAAAGAAAGAGAAAATATATTCAAATATCTTAATCACATTTAATATGTAACTTATTTTTATTATAAATAGCAATAACTGTCGCTATAATTACCGTAGTGGTATTTTGATTTGATATACATACAGACTTCAATACGTTTTTGTTATAACTGTTAAAAATAGTTATATAACTGAATGCACTAAATTTGAGTGGTAATGTTCAAGGCAAAATTAGGTTACTGGCTAACGGTTTTTATCGTAGAAGTGGTGACAAAACATCGAAAATAAGTGAAAAACAAGATTTCGATGAAATGAGATGAACCCTCTCATATGACACGATAGGCTGATGCGGTTGGGGGTATAAAGCATCGGGTCATTGAATCTGTGATTGTACGCCACCACCCCTTTTACCTCATACAGTACACCATTACTACTCCTACCCGTCCCTTAAATTCTGATTTACAGTGAAATTATATACATTTCATTACAAAAGCTTTCATTTAAGTGAATACATGTCGAGTATTATATCGCATATAAGACTGATATGACAGCAAAAAATAACACTTTTTAAGCCTTTAATTACATTTTATGAGAGAATAACAGTTTCCCTCTCATTCCCCTCCCCTACCAGTGCTTTCTTTCTGTCTTTCCCTCCCTACCCCTACAGTATGTTTGCTTATATGCACTCTCTCTCGACCCTAAATGTACTACAGTTGTTCAGTAAGTGTATGGCATTTGATATCAGCGACATACCGGCCCTGAGAAAGTACTGCCTTGAACTTGAAAATCGCGTATCATATCAAATTGAACAGTGTACATTAAATAAATAACAGTAAAAATATTTTTAACGATAAAAACAAAGCCTTTTCTGTTGTTTTTTATACGCCGGAGCCCTCGAACTCAGCTAACACTGTAAACCCAGTGATGAGAGCTGTAGGCGCGCTCGTTATTGGACACCCAGTGCCCGATCGCACCGGCAGCTCACTGCTCCCTATTGTGTACTGTACTGTACTCTCCAGTATAGGTATGATACACAGGTATGGTATGTACTCTCACTCCTAGGCTATCGTACATACAGTTTGCGATAATTACTACACAATTGTTTTATTAGCGCTGAACCTAACGGCGCTTATCGTACGGGATATCAAACAAAAAACAACTCACGAAATGTGTTTGAAATACATATTATTAATTACTATTTTGAAGCACCTATTGTCTCATAATGTATAATAAAGGTGCATTTTAGTGAGAGGCTATGCCTAACAGTGCATAATTTAATTTGAAATTAAGTTATAAAAATGTTTTATGCCCAGGGAGATAATTGCAAACTATGTGTTTTCCAAACACTCCATAATTTGAACATTTTGTTTAACTTTTGCACTCAAATGACAACAAAACTCTTTTAAACCACTGGTCGGCCACCAGTTCATCAGAAATGTATAGATTATGACATTCAATTCATACTCATTGCCAATATATTAACACTTGATTAAGAGATACTAGCAAAACACCAATCCCTGGCCACTGATATACGGGTTAACTAATGCTTGCATACATGTCCTAAACGCGTGTATTTATGGGTCGAAGTTCTAGTGTTTTGACTATTTTTATATACATTTTATATAAATTTCTGTCAATTCAGTGAAAAACTTCTGTATTTTCACATCGAAAATATATACACTTTAAATGACATATCAAATGATTAGCAGATTTATTACAAAATTAGTTTTCAGTGTTTAATATAAACTCGTTTTAAGAAAACAATTTTTGTTCAATTTCTAGTGCAATATAAAAATATTTATTCAATATATCAGATCTATTTATAATAAGTAAATAAATATAAATTTTCGGCTAAAAACACTTTAATATCATTGGAAAAGTGATGTGAAAAGAAAAGTCTATTGAATAGACAGTCAAATCTCTCTCTATTGAGATAGTGTTTACACTAATCAATGAAAAGTTAAAATAAAAAATACGAAAAAATTACTTTAAAAAGAAATGCGAGAAAAACACTTTTATTTCTTAAAATATATTCATTGAAAACGAAAATCATTTGAAGGTATCGAAAGCTGCCTTTCCTATTATACATGCCTTTCTATACACACATAATACTCTAAAAGAGATGAGTGAATACAGCAACAAAAGTGAGTGAAAATAAATACACGAAAAATAATACACAAAGTAATTGAAAATTATTAAAAAGAGAAGCGCTTTTCAAGTGTTGCAAACAGTTTCACACAAAAGCCTATTGTGTTTTGCAAGTAATATATTGACTGATATATACATCTATAGCCTTACAGTATATAATGTGTACACAATTAACGGTACGGTAGGCATCAGGCAATCATACTGTTCCACTCGCACTGTATGTGTGCCATCAAAATCAAATCAATTGAAACGCCAAATACACGGCTTATGTAATAGTATTATGTAATTCCCAAATGAGCTTAAAATTTTTGTAGAGTCCACACACACACACACACAACATGAGTTTCTAATACTGAAGCTACCAGTGCTTTTGTATGGGCTGGTAGTGAGTAGGCTATACTTCTCTATACGGCGGTATATATTAAAAGTATTTCTCATTTTCTATGAAAGCGTTTGTCACTCAATAGAGGCACACAAAAGCGCTTATAAAGTGCAAGTTATGTCACTCAACACAAACTCCCTGTGCTCTCAACGTGTATCTCTTACAACTAGCAGCTCATCCTTAAACTATGTTTTTTAAAACACCTACCGGTGCGCTGGCTTTTTCACCGTACGCTTCACTTTCCAATTTCTATGGAAAAACCAATTTATATCAACAAAAGTGTTGACTTATATATGAAAAATACGGCACTTTTTTGTGCATCAATTTTCTAAGTCCTATTCATATAATGATAACATGTTTTAATACCAAACTTACAAAACGCTCACTAAATCCGATCGGATTTAAAATCTGGGGAATTACAAAACCTAATACTAGTTTTCATACTATATTTCATGTATTTATATGTGTCGGTGCGCTCCGGTAGCTGTGAATGGGATGCCTGTATAGGTATTCTCTCCGTTCACACAATGCAATACTCTCTATGAGTATAACTGTGTTCTAACGGTAAGCACTCAATGCTGACGATCAGTGTTACGGCGCTATGCAGTGAAGCGCTCTTTAATGCTGACAAACGTCTCACTCGATTGGTGTCGAGTATGAGCTGAACTCCACTCGCTCTCTATCCGACCTCCCGGTGCTCTATGGATGCGCCGGTAGATTATACACCAATATTATGCGTAATTCAATTGAAATCACGTTTATAGTACTCAAATATATATCTAATTATCTAAATTGCAATTTAAATAATTTCTTTTTAATGAAAAGAGTCTGAGAGAGTATACAACTCGACAGCGCTTACACACAGTTAGGTTCAGCCCCTAAGAACTAACAGTGCTGTCGACTCGTACTGATTGCGCTGTACATCAAAAAAGTCTGCCGGAGCGACAAATTTTGTACTTTTATGTAAGACTAATGCAATGGCTCTCTCTCTCTCTCTCTCAAACTATTTCACACAACAAATGGTTTTTGGGTATAAAATACTATAGTTTTGAGTGAAATATATATCACTTGAGCGAAAATTGCATACATACGCGCACCGGGAGTCTATTTGTTGTGGCAAAAGGTACGACTCTCAGCGATAATATAAGTTATGTCACCACCGCTTACGTAATGTATCACATAGAGAGAGAGTCACTTAACAGTTATTATACATACAAAACACTTCAATACAGACATTGCATTACATAATAGGCCGACAATAGAGGGAAAAGACTTAAACAAATTCACATATCTATTGGCACTTAATTCGGTCAACTATTATACTAGCACAATTGTAAAAAATATATGTAGATGTCTGGACCCACAAAACGGAACATGAATTTCAAAGATACTTAATATTTTTAACCATTATAATTTCTTATAGTTTAAAAGATATTATAAAATTTAATACTAAATAATGTAACGCATAATTAAATAAGACAATTATATATAATTATCATTAATAAAATAAGATGAAATATATATCACTTGAGCGAAAACTGCATACATACGCACACCGGGAGTCTATTTGTTGTGGCAAAAGGTACGACTCTCAGCGATAATATAAGTTATGTCACCACCGCTTACGTAATGTATCACAGAATCTATGCATGCGTTTTGTTTGCTATAAAATGCATACAATTTACGGCCTTTCTATTGCCAATAATGAACACTAGAGTCCCATTGAAATGCATGCAAAGTAAAGGCATTTTCCAAACGCATATATAATGGGTCTGTCAGTCATGACCCCCTGCTGTGCCCCTCCATTCACTGGCGTATAATAGATTTATATTGAGACTCTGATTTTTTAATGTCAGGTCCGAGGGGTTGTCACACTCTCCCCACTACTCTCTATCTAATGTCATCTGACAGTAGAATACAGAATACATTACATATAAAACAGATATTATATAAAATACTGTGCGATAAGGAGAGAGAGAGAGAGAGAGAGAGAGAGAGAGAGAGACGCATTTGTGACCAATATATCACTGTCTAACTGTCCATCTCCACTGGTGCGATGCCTATACGATCGGACAGTTATTAGACTCCCGGTGTGCGTATGTATGCAATTTTCGCTCAAGTGATATATATTTCACTCAAAACTATAGTATTTTATACCCAAAAACCATTTGTTGTGTGAAATAGTTTGAGAGAGAGAGAGAGAGAGAGAGAGAGAGAGAGTCACTTAACAGTTATTATACATACAAAACACTTCAATACAGACATTGCATTACATAATAGGCCGACAATAGAGGGAAAAGACTTAAACAAATTCACATATCTATTGGCACTTAATTCAGTCAACTATTATACTAGCACAATTGTAAAAAATATATGTAGATGTCTGGACCCACAAAACGGAACATGAATTTCAAAGATACTTAATATTTTTAACCATTATAACTTCTTATAGTTTAAAAGATATTATATTTAATACTAAATAATGTAATGCATAATTAACTAAGACAATTATATATAATTATCATTAAAAACAATAAGAAATTATAAATCCATATCCCGTTTTGTTGACTCAGATATATAAGTGAGTGAATAAAATACACAATAAAAAAGCTGTAGTGAGGGGACAGGTAGTTGTAACGAACACACTTACACTTAATTTATATTGTCTGTCATTCCTCTATTGAACGGTACGGTCAGTGTTGGGGTCCAGTAGTCTATGAATTGGCCAATTGGTTGATCGCTTGTGTAAGAAACGACTGCTTTTTCATCCAATTCCGGGCTCCGGTATTAACACCTCAGTGAACAGTATAGTAGGGCACCGTTAGCTTCAGAAATCTGCAGAAGTGATAAAACAAAATTGTCAGTAAAAATGGACAGTAGTCTCATACGGGCTATAGGAGTGGCTATTATTGTATAACTCTATTGTGTGTCTAAAGTGAGTGTAAAAAACTAAAACACTTTTATCTATACTTTATATTTACTTTTTATTTTAAAAAGCTTTGAGAGAAAGAGAGAGAGAGAGAGAGAGAGAGAGAGAGAGAGCCATAGATGGATGAATAGAGAGGACAAGGATCTCGCAAAGTGTGTGTATAAGCAGTACTCCATTGGGAGCATACATTTGATACGGATTTTGAGTATCCGTCACACGGATTATACACTCAAGTAATCAAAAAGTCAGGGCATAAAGCACTGGTAGTGGCAATTTCGTGGAAAGTTATACACATCCCTATCCCCTTCGTTTTTAATGCAATTTTTAGACTCTCTTTAAACATATTTTTATAAAAACAAACTTTTTTTGAGTTTTAAATTTTTCCCCATATTTTTGTGTAAATTTTTTTCGAGCTATGCTTTACTGTCCATCACTTTTATTATCACCAAATGCTCATCAAATGCAATAACCCGTAAACTAATGGTAAGTTTTTCATTTTATTATAAAGTGGGAGAGAGAGAGCATTGATGGAGGGGACAGACACTTAAACACTGGTCCTCCGCCACTAAAACCAAAATCAATTGAAAGTGTAAAAGAAGTGACGAGAAAAAAATAAAATAATATAAAATACTCGTCTAAAATACATTTTAAAACTACAATATGCCGTATATTAATAATAATCATAATACAGTCGACACTCGTTATACGCACTGATATTAGATATTAATTTTATAGCAATAATAACTAGTAATAAATTAATAGTTAATACAAATATTTTACAGTTAAACATATTAGGCATACATACGGCTGGCAATCGCATGAGTGGAATGACTATATCGAGAGTGATATATAATTTCAACACTCATATACTGTACATCACTATCCCTTTGTAATGCATTTTGGGTATCAACTGATGGCAAACGCATTCACCACTCGACTGATTCAGACAATCGCTTAAATGTAGTGCCGAAAGAGCACAACCTCTTAGGCAGTCATCATTAGGTATGAGTGCTCTCACAATATACTGTATATTTTATAATAAAACACATACACCCAGAAAAGCGCACTAATGGACAGTTAGTTGTATCCAACGATGCTTAGGGTCCCATCAAAAACAAATGACCCAAATATATGGTGAATACACTCACAGAATGTGTTTTCAAAAGTAAAACAAATTCTCGATTTTATGTATAAAAATGTTTCAAAAACTTTTTTAAAACACACATAAAAAGCAATAATAACTCTCGAAAGGCAACGATATTATGGTAACCGTTAAGTGAGTGAACATTAACTGCAAAACAATATACGAGAAAAAAGTTTTGCTTTTTATATCACAAGTATTGCAATGCGATGTATGAAAATGTCAACATTTTTCGAGATACCTTTCCACTCGCACACTGGTCTCCCTTTCTTATCGCACACTGACTGCTCAAACACTCAACACTCGACTCCTATACCCACTCACTGAATGACTGGACTCGTAGGGGCGGGAGGGGACGGGAGGAGGAGTGGGATCAGAGGACGAGTATCTGTCTGGCCAGTCGTGTTACAGCCAGTGGTCATTCACATATACACAGCACTTGTAGTATTAGTGCTCTAGTGATCAAATAAGCAAATATAGCAATAAAAATCACTGTTTACTACAGAGAGTTGTAGTGAAAAGGGCTATAACTGTATCCGGAAGGGAGTCGAGTGCGAGAGAGAGAGAGAGAGAGAGAGAGAGAGAGAGAGAGTTAAGTAAAAAACCGAGATTAACCTCAACTTTCTACCGGTTCACTCTCTCACTCAGTGGTGGCGGTAATCCCTGTCTAATGCCTATTCCCAGAGCACATACACACACTCTCCGAGAGAAAAGTACTCTCCTTTTCTCCCCTCCACTCTCTTTAGTCTCTCTTTTTTCTACTATTTTTTATCTCTTTTCCTATTCTTAGGACCTTTTTTCTCACCGAAATAAAAAGGCATAGGACTGGTAGGGAATGGTAGGGATGAGTTTGCATTGAATGCTAGGAAGTCTTCCGTGTTTTTACAGTTAAGAGAGAGAGAGAGAGAGAGAGAGAGAGAGAGAGACGCATTTGTGACCAATATATCACTGTCTAACTGTCCATCTCCACTGGTGCGATGCCTATACGATCGGACAGTTAGCTTAGGAGCTCTGGTGGGGTGGTTGGGGGCCGACACTGTCACTGATGACCCTATTTTTGTCACAACTTCTGGTATATTTGAACACAAAAAAGAGTGAATGTTTAGGGAAATACAGTCTAATGTATAATACAGGATATATTGTTAGGCCATTATATCAGTGGCCTAATGGGGTATGGGATGCAATCGGGACAGACATCTGCCAAAACTTAAGGCTAGGCATTGATCGCAATCATTGGTCAAGACGTTACACATTATTGAATACTTCCGACTATTTTAAGTATTTTTTACATTTCCTATCATTTGTCACTCATTTGCATTCAAATTCATAGACTTTTATTTATTTAATCAATTATTTTATTTATAATTATTAATATTTTATTTTTATAACCAATAGTACCTCAAAATAAATGCATAGAAATAGAAAACAAAACTTTTATTTTTATTTATCCCACACTATGTTATCGACCGTTTATAATGTTTATTGTATTATCAAAACAGTTGATAAACTTATGCGAAAGTCTCTACGACTGGACTACCAGTGCCCCAACACTTATGTCTTACAGTTATGTCCCAAAGCCATTGTGGAGATGGGAAAGGGGGTCCTATTTATCACACATACCGTTACTATGGCTTTAGCACAAAAATAGTGTATAATTTGCACTTATTTACGGAAATGCAGTCTCAGACCAGACCTTAGATTAGAAAGTCTGTGACACAGACTATAGGTTTTGGGGGTCAAAGGTATGGGAAGGCTGTATATAAACGAGTGAAAAGTGACTGAAAAGGAAATAAAAAGTAATTTCATGTCTGAGATGTAGTATAAAAATAAACCCTTGTTTTCAATCGAGACGTAAACAGCACCCATAGTATGGGTCCCATACGTACGTACGAGAGAGTAAGTAATAGTAAGAGAGAGAGAGAGAGAGAGAGAGAGAGAGAGAGAGAGTCAATCAAATTGTCAAATAAAAGGCACCCGTTTTTTATAAGCAGTTTCCCAGATATTTCTCAGGGATCGGGAGAAAGGGATAGGGAATCGGCAATGAAAACACGGAAGTGTGAGAAACAAATTTATATCTCAAACCCCACTCTCTAACTCTCTCTATCACTCTCTCACTCCACACTCACTCTCTATCCCAACTACACAATACTATTGGCATTCACTGCTATGTTATTATTATTTGTATATATTTTTCCGCAAAGAGAGAGAGAGAGAGAGAGAGAGAGAGAGAGAAGCCGTGAATTGAAATGTATTGTCGAGTGCCTTAAGTATTGAATACTAAAAATATTTGCGATGTTTTTGAAATACTGTGAGAAAAAAATTATTTGGTATAAAAATCGCAAGTGTATAGTGAATGGTAAGGTCAGGGTCGCACACATCGCTCGGCACTGGCAGATACGGAGCACAGGGAGCCCAGACATACGGGGGGAGAAATTGTGTGTGTATAAGAGACCAGAAATAACCCCTTAACACACCCTTATGTACAAATCAACTGAGAGTCCAGTCTGACAGCCCTTTCCCCAACAGTCCTGAAACTGAATACTTTTACTCTTATTATTAGTTGACTATTATGTATATTAGAGGAACGTCTACATACTCTCATTGGGAAGGCCTACTCTGGGAAAGTGCACTGAAGAGAGCAAAAGTGCATTCAATAGAGTGTGAAGAGAAATACCCGGAAAAAAATCTATCCATACATTCATATAACAGTCACTGTCTTCACGAAAAAGTGGTATTTATTTGAGATATTTATAAGACTTTGTCTTATCGACAGGAAAACAAGTCGTCTCTCTCTCTCTCTCTCTCTCTCTCTCTCTCTCTCTCTCATGAATATAATATTTGGTATGTGTTTAGCGTAAGAGAGATCGTAATTACAGTTAGAAATTCATGGCATTTGTGTGTTGTTTATCGCACGGAAAAAATAAAACTAAGAAAATACAGTCAAACGTTAGGAATATTTAAACATTCAGTTTATTTATTCATTATATTATTTTAATTATCGTCTCGTTTTTGGAGATCTATTTCCCAGTGATAAGAGAGTTGCAAATACTTGCAAAGGAGTTGTGAATACTTTTATTAATTTTGTCCACAAATATCTTTGAGATACTTATCGAGAGAGAGAGAGAGAGAGAGAGAGAGAGAGAGAGCGAGAGAAAGAGAGAGAGAGATTCCTATCGATTTAGTCAATCAGACTATCGCATCGACAGCCATTAGCACACAGGTAGCTTTTATGCCGGCACAGGTAGGTATTGGGAAGTTCTGGTTATGAGAAACGCGAGCATAATATTCTGTAAAATATATATTTTTTCTTTTAATATTCAGGAAACGAAATCAAGCGTTAAGTTTGACTTTTTGCACCGACTGTTCCGTTACTGTGAACGCTGAGGCATACCAGCCCCCACACACACCCGGTAGCCTATGTATCTCATCCATGTGTATCCAGTTTTTCACTTTCGAAAACTTGTTCATCGCCTAAAAGGTGAGCAATTAAACTGTGCTCTCTCTCTCTCTCTCACCCTCTCAATCGCACAGGTATTCTCTCTCTCTCTCTCTCTCTCTCTCTCTCTCTCTCTCTCTCGATGTGTGTCTTATCTATGAGCCGCTCTCTCGCATACCATACCAGTCATAAGCAGCGTAATTGGCCTTCAATTACAAGTGTCTTAAGTACACAAAAATATGAATACAGAGAAATAGTTTTAAAATAAAGTTTAAGGAAAAGCGAGAGAGAAATGAGAGACGAAAAGGCAATTCTTGCGCTCATATTAC